AATGAATCGACTTTTCAAGGTAGTAAACAAATCAATTAAAATATCAACCCAACAATCATTTGAGTATCTGGGATTTCCCAAACCATTCCTACTTACTGGGTCATTGACTTTGATGGACAAAAAACAATGAAGAAAAGAAAGCATATATATAAAACTTTAAAGCATTAAACACCCGCCTCCAAACATATCTCCCCTTTATTCTCATGGCATTGTATGCCAATGTTTTCTTTTCTTCATTGTTTTTTGTCCATCAAAGTCAATGACCCAGTAAGTAGGAATGGTTTGGGAAATCCCAGATACTCAAATGATTGTTGGGTTGATATTTTAATTGATTTGTTTACTACCTTGAAAAGTCGATTCATTCTATTCATTTCAAAAACTGGCCATTCTCTGGATGAGGTCCCTACAGTGCGGGTCTCAGGGCAATTGCTCCTCGTTACCCCTCTCCTAAAACAGAATCCAAAGTAGACTTAGTCTGTATCAATGAAAATAGAATAAAACTGTTGTATTTAAAAATATGCATTGGTGAAGGGATTAGGGGGAAGACTAAGACATAAATTGAGTTCATCTTATTTCTGATCATCTGTCAGCCCCAACAGGTAGACCAAACCACAAATCAACCCCACAGAAAGTCTAATTCACTCAATGTGAATTAGAGAGGTGTCTGTCTGAGCCTCTTCTACACAGTTTCTGTTTGTGGTGGGCATAAGTTTTTTCCTTCATTGTTTTGGTAACGGAGGTTACATATCTCTGTCAAGGTAATCTTCCTTACTCTAGTATACCCCTGGTATCCTAATAGAATATATAGTTGTATTTATCCAGTGGAGCACAACTTCATACCTTCCATATACATTTCTATCTTAGTTCCAAACCTGGAAGAGAGCAAGATTAAAATACAGGCAGTAACATAATCTATAGGAAGATTCACATGCTTTACGTATGGGAGAGAAGTTCCTTTTAGCATGCTGTGATTCCTAATACATCTGTATTTTTCCTCTTGATTTGACATACTTTCCTAAGCATAACGGGGAAAAAAATGAAGCTATAATTTAAGGGTATAATCTAAAGATTCGATCATTAGTTTACATATTGTAATTGAAAATGATTACTTGATAGGAAGTAGTGAATTCAACTTAATATCTTTAGTTAAGAGGGATAACCTAAAGGCAATCTAAGATTTCTTTTGTGGGTGAAAAGAAATTTGTAGTTTCTGGAAAGTGCATGCCACACTGAAACTACTCCTCAAAGCATTGTTTCACCATAAAAGATAAAGCAAAGCAAATAATTTGTGAGCACATAATGTACAGGGACAATTTCGATCATCACAGCTATCACTTTTCCACACACTTTGGATACCCCTGACCAGAAGGGAACTTAAATCTTTTAAAGCTTTCTCTTACATAAATTATGCATTTATCTTATGTTAGGAACCATAATTTTATTTTATGATATTTACAGAATGTCTTTTAAAATATTCCAAGAATTATTCTTTATATTACAACATTTGGAGAAGGAAGAAAGAAAGAATCAGGAACATGCGTAGGGAGAATATGAATCTAAAGACTCTAAAATGTTCTAACAAACTAGCTTAAAAGATTTCCTTCCCATTATTTGCAATGGTGGGGGGGGGGGTTAATTTAAAAAAAATGACAGGTAAAGCAGTGAATGTTATATCCTCTTGACCTCTGGTTTGGTGGTCTGTTCCTGGTAGAATGTTGGAAACAGCTTGTTGTGTTGCTCTGCACATCTCAAATATTGAATAAATGGAACCATTGTTCCAAAGGGCCATCACTTGTAACTTTCACTCAGGTTGAAAAAGTAATATTTGGCACACTGGTGCTCTATACAAGATGTTACTTTCCCATTCTTATAAAAATGTTCCTTTAGTTTGTATTTTCAATAACTAACATTAAGCTAACATATCTGCAAACTGTGTTCGGTAGAATATTTTAAAAGGTAATTTGGCTTTAAATGTTGTTCGGTGTATAGAGTGTTTCTTTTTTCCTCCCACAAAACATAGCTAAATCACTAAGAGACATGAACACAGTATTATCTAGTGAACAAGTGCCGAAAGATGCAAGAACAAACAATAGTTTTCAAGAAGAAGAAGCAGACCGTTGGGCTAGACGAAGGAAATGGTTCAAAAACAGCAAAAGGTACCAATCAGCTGGAGAGAGCTCTATGAATAGTAGCTTCACCGAAGGATCTGGTAAGTACTACATTTAGCTGAGTGATAAGGAGAAACATTTTGCCAAAGATTTGTAGATAAATTATTCCAGTTGAAAGAGGTGTGATTACAGGATATAATGTTTTCTTATTCAAATTTTTTCAGGTCTAGCGGGAAAGCCATGAAAAGCAACATGTTCAAACTGAGGTCAAGGACCACTTTAGCCCTGCCCCCTAAAAAGCTTACTATGACCCCAGATTCCTCCAAAATATGGTTCCTAGATTATAATTTTTTAAAAGAAAATGACATAAGGAGAAGATGATTGAACACAAGACAGGAGAGCAATCATATTAACTACAGTATTTGAAAATTCTAGCTAAATTTAAATGTTAATTAAATCAATTTTAGCTTTAGTCCCAACATCCCAGCCATGACTCACTGGGGTGGGGCCTTTGGCACATCACCCAGAGCCCAGGACACTTCTTGACTGGAAAAAACTTCATGCCCCAGTTTAGGTAAACCATCACAGAAATCCATAAGCCATATGTGGGAAGAGGTATGATCAGAGGAAGAAACTATGGACATGACACTATTTCTCACTGTGATAAAACATAATTTCGTACACGGCAATAATTGCACATGAACAGTCCATAATGTCTTTCAACATAGCCCATCTGTTTAGTGTGTGTGAAATTAATCAGGGAAATTTAAACTGGCCCTTCTCTTAAGCAGAATGAAGACACTGTCTCAAATAGCTGATGCTCAGGAATATAAGGAAAGGCAGCAAATGTTACTGATTTAAAATATTATTATTTTTACTATCACAGAAAAAAAACTTGTGAGATTTTCTGTCATAGATTAGGAAAACAATAAGCCTGTGTGCTCCTCCCAGCCCTCTATTTCTAACTATAATAAAATAAAATACAATTAATAAAATCTATAATAACATACTCTAGTACTTTTCCAGGATGTCTACTGAATAGACTAAACTTTCTGTAGCTGTTGGCTAAATGTTTCACATTTTTCTCATTATTATTCCAGCTTGCCTTTCACATTTTAAAAGTATGCAAATATACCAGCTAAAAGTCTTAAAGGATAACCTTCAATTACAATGTTTAATGAATTTATAGTGCATGCTAATGAACACCCCAAGATGGAATATTAATGTCCAAGGCAGAAGAAATGGTTCACATAAATCTACCTCCTGATTTGTCACCATAGTACATAAACAGTCAGTCTAAATGAGGGGAAAAAAAGAATTGGGTGTTTTTAAAATGTATCTATCAGTAAGATAAATATTTTACTTTTATTCTTTTCACCAAAATCTAAAGTTCATAAGTGTCTTTGAAAGGTATAATTTCTCCCAAAGAGTATATTGCTGAGGCTTTCTGTTTATTTGCAGTCTTTGCTTAAATTTGGCTAGTCTCGACCAAGTCATACACTGTCATACACATGGTGCTGTGACATGAACAATAACTTGTTACTTGGAAGTGCTATATCATGAATGCTGTTGTCCCTTATGTAACTCTGTGTTGATGAGTCTTTTCTGGAGTGATTGAATTAACTGTGAATCACTGTCCATATGATCAAAGCTGCTCCTTGAAAACTCCTCCTCTCTTTAACTGTGGAACTATAAACAATATTCACTGAGCCTTAAAAACAGTGGATTTTGATAAAGATCAATGTGTAACATATGGACCTTCAGTGGTCAAAAGGACAACAGAAAGGTAAGTTCACCTGGGCTTTTTCTGAAAGTCTGTTTGTCATTTTCTTTTCGGTGATCCAGCAATGGTAATGTTGAGTTACTCATCTGAAGGGAGTTCATGGGAAGAAAAATCTGAGCTATGCAAAAAAAATTCCTTTCTGTTTCTCTCTAACATTCTGTACTAAATAAGGGGAAATTATCAGATATTTTATATTGTATTGATCAATAATGAAAATAATACTGTGTTCAGTATTAAAAAATATACATTTGTAAGGTAACGATGTTGAGACAAAGAAATTCATATCTATTTCTAAACATGTTATAACAGGAAATGGGTTAATACAGAAGGAATATTAATCTGAAATCAGAGATTTTGATAAATTGGTTTTTAATCTACATATAAAAATCAAAGTTAATATGCATGTTCAAATCTCAGGAGCATCACTTGTGATATTACTTATTTTAGACTCCCCTTTTTTCTTCCCACACAAAACGCACAGCTTGGCAGTTTCTATTCTTAACATTAAGAAGCATTCAGAATATTGGCTCATAAAACTAAACCTTCAGAAACTCATCTGCTTTCCTAAGCGATAGGAAGGTATCTGAGCAAAAACATTCCTTACAAAATTAATAGAAGTTCAGTAAGTTGAAGAAACTTGGAAAATGTGTTTGTGATCAACTTTATATGTCTTTATACAGTCATGGAATTTAGTATGTCCTAAAATTCTGAGTCCAGAAAAGAGCAAGCTTTATTGTGTGATACTTAGGTAGCTATCTTAAATGAATGACATGGATTGACAGATGCCTTCTGATTAGCCAGGATGGATGAACCTGTTGGTCAAGTTCACTAGAATCTTGCTAAGCCTCCTGTTTTGGCTGCTTACCTGGGACTGCAAAAGCAACAGGTACCACCCAAGATACATCTGACTCAGAAATTAAAGGCTTCATTAGGGAACAGAGACTGAATTATCAAAGCAAATCTCTCTCTCCAGTGGATAGAACAGTCAGCATTTCTGGACACTCCTGAGGCCTATCTTTCTGTGTAGGCCCACTGCCACTGCTTTAAGCCTCCCAATCACGTTCACATATCATTTCTAAGCAGGGAAGCACTGACATAGCACAAAGTGGGATCAGCATCATGCCTTCCATTCCCTTCTGGGAGCTTTGCTGGTCAAATCTAAAGAGAGGAGGGGAAGCAAGTAGCTGTAGTGATAAGGAAAGGAAGATTCACTTATGAAGGGGACCAATGAAATCCTCTTGCCTGGAGCTGACACTAGTCCTCAAAGTAATAAAATATTTAAAATATTTTACAAAGTAATAAAAGAAGATGGCATAAGAACAGGATGGGGGTTGAGCTGCAAAAATGTTTGGTTTGATGCCTGGAGGGGAAGGGTACCTTTGTTTTTAACCATGTTTTATGGATTGCTGTGAGCCGCCTAGAGTCCTTGTATGAGATAGGCAGCTATAGAAGTCCTGTAAATAAATAACATAAATAAACAGAACTAAAATATAATTGCATATAGAGGGAAAGAAGAAAGCATTAAACATTCAAATCAAATAGTTTATTGTTCAGAGAAATGAGTAGAAAAATCATGATCAGGCCATGAATGGAGGTGGGCGAGCTTATTTCTTTTTAAGCATCTTTTTCATTTCTTACCAGTAGATTCTAACTTTCCCTCATCTTTGTTTTTATACCTTTGACATTTTCTTGACAACAACAACAACAAAAATCTGACCTTTCCAAATCTGACCTTTCCTAATTCTTGTCTCTTCCCAGTGAATTCAGAAGATGGTTGTTCCTTGGATCTGGGACTGCACAGGCAAAGTCAAGAGCAAGGCTTCTACAGAGAAATCTTCCACTCAGCTTCTTGGGTGTTCCGAGAGGATGATGCTAATGCAGATAATAATCTCAGCTGTCTTGGCAAAAGGCCTAGGCCAGTCACTAGTAAGTATAAAGGAGTGTGATATGGTAAGGCAAGTTGTACATTTTTTGTCATTATCAACTGCAAGATAATATTGCTTATAAAAACAACAGCAGTTGATTGATTGATTGATTGATTGATTGATTGATTTTGTGCCATCAAGTCGTTTTCAACTCCCAGCAACCACACAGATAGAATTTCTCCATAAAGGCCTATCCTTAACCTTTTCTTTCAAGTCTCCCAAGGGTGTACTCATCACTACTGTAACTGAGCCCATCTACCTTGCTGCTGGTCATCCTCTTCTTGTCTTTCCTTCCACTTTTCCCAAAATTACAGCCTTTTCCAGAGAGCTGAATCTTTGCATAATATGTCCAAAGTAGGATAATCTGAGAATGGTCATTTGTGCCTCAAGTGAGAACTCTTGGTTGATTTGTTCAATGATCCATCAGTTTGTTTTCTTGGCTATCCACAATATTTTCAGGTGTCTTCTCCAACACCAGATGTGTCAATACTCTTCCTATCCTGCTTCTTTAAAGTCCAGCTTTTGCTTCCATAGTGATTCACAAGGAATACTATGGCTTGCATGATTCTGATCTTTATAGCTATAGACAGCAGTTAAGCTAATGTGAATCTACTCAAATGGGCAAAGGTTTGATTGCACGGTCACGGCTATCACCTTGACTATTTTTATAAGACATTTATTAGACATTTTATAAGACACCTCACAGACATCCCTATGGGGTGTATATGTGTATCCAATCATTTGCTTGAAAATTGTACCTAAAAATAGTTAAGCGTGCAACCTCCAATGAAATCATGACTGTCATTCTGTAACCTGTTGGTTATACCATTTGTCTCATAAGAACGCAGATTTAATTACATGGAGGTTTGGTAGGATTCCCATGCCAGGAATGATAAATGTCCTTTTCCAAGGAGGAAGAAAAAGGATCAAAATACTTGCAAATATAAGAACCCTGTAAGGCCAAAGTTAAGCTGAAGCAAGTTTCACACAAACAGGAAACTGGAAACAAAGGGTGACCCCTTAATAAACATGATACACAATCAATATGAAACTAAAACAGAAAACATCACTCAGATCCTTTTCTGCCCTGCTGGGTTGCAGCCAATGTACTGTTAGAATTATCAGAGCACCCTTATGATGGCTATTTTATGTTCTTGATTCCTCAGATCTATTAAGACAGGATTTATTAATTGTTTAAAAAACTACCAGTTTAAATGTAGCTCCACAACATGAAGTACTACATTCAGAATTATTTCTGGTAGTCAACAAATGACCCATAAAAATATGAACTTGGGCATTCTACTTCTCTTTTCTTTGTTCTTTTTAGTTCGGGAACGAACCGTAAGGATTCCTAAAGGAACTGGTGACTATCCTTGGGGATTCCGAATCCAGTTCTCAAAGCCCATCTTGGTGACCGAAGTGGATTCCAGTAAGTGACATGATCATCCCCAAAGATCACTTCCCTCACTGAAAGATTCAAAGGAGTTTTGAATGGTACAGTGTTTAAAATAGGCGGCAAAGAGGTAGCAGGTAGCTGGTGTGGGTCTTCCGGGCTGTGTGGCCGTGGTCTTGAAGTCTTGTTTCCTAACGTT